TTTCTTCTTGAAAAAAACAACAGCTTTATTAAGGTATAATTGAGATGCCATAAAATTCACCCTTTTAAAGTGCACAATTCAGTGGGTTTTAGTATATTCACAAAGTTGTACAACCACAACCACTACCTAATTCCAGAATACAGTGGTACCTCGGTTTTCGAACGTCTCCGTTGACAAACATTTCGGTTTACAAACGCCGTAAACCTGAAAGTAAACGCTTCGGTTTTCAAACACGCCTCGGAAAATGGAACACGCCCCGCGGCTGCCGCTGAGGGCAAGATCCTGAGGCCCAGCTGCCGGCTGTGGATCCCTCGGTTTTCGAACGTTTCAGAACTCAAACGGTCCTCCAGAATGGGTTACATCCGAAAACGGAGGGACCACTGTAATTTCATCACTCCTAAAAGAAACTTTGTACCCATTTAGCGGTCACTCCCTATCCCCCTTCCTTCAACCCCTGGTAACCACTCATCTACTTTGTGACTGTGGATTTACCTCTTCTGGATATTTCATGTAAATGTAATGTGTTACTCAGCTCAGGCTACCATAACAAAATATCGGCCTTAAACAGAAATTTATTTTCTCAGAGTTCTGGAAACTGGAAGTCCAAGATCAGGATGCTGGCATGATTGGGCTCTGGTGAGAGCCCCCTTCTTGGCTGGCAGACTCCGCCTTCTTGTGCCCTCAAGGGAGAGACAGCGGGAGAGGGGTCTCTCTCTGATACCTCTTCTTACAGAGACTTCATTTCTTTATATGGCTGAATAATATCTCATTCATAGGGGAATATTATTAGTGAATGCATAGACCACACTTCAATTACCCATCATCAGTTCACAGACATCTAGGTGGTTTCTACTTTTGAGCTATTGTGAACGCTGCTGCTACAAACAACTGTATACTAGTTTTTGCGTGCATGTGTTTTATTTCCCTTGGGTTAACTACCTAGAAGTGGTATTGATGGATTATATGATAACTGTGTTAACACCTTCATTTCTTCCCTCATTCATTCATTCATTCATTCATATAACATGGGGAAACCATCTGTGAGTTCATTCAACTGTACTGTGGGCCAGACACTCTTATTTGTGGGTGGCATGGTGGTGGGCTGCACTAAGGAGTTGTTTTCCTGGAGGTCCAAGATGTGGTGAGGAAAGGCCTGCTCTGGTCTCCATTCCCCAGAACCCTTAGTTACCCCCAGAACCAGCTACATAATTTGCAGGGTACAGTGCAAAATGAAAACCTGGGCCCATTGCTCAAAAATGATTAAGAATTTTAAGACAAGGAGGCTCTAGGTGATTCAATGTGAGTGGTCTGGGGCGGGGAAAGGCTGACAAACCCAGTCATCTATGGTCCACTGGCCGTGGAGAAGCCACCTGAAGTGGGGAGATCCAGCTGCCTGGGGTTTGAAGTCCTGAGAAAAGAGCTTAGGGCCCTGGAGAACTTGGGTCTGGAGGGTTGGGAACTGAAGTCTCAACTGGAGGTATTGGGGTCTGGGAGACTCTTGATATCCTCACTCTGCTGACTCCCAACCCCTACACCTGTGTAGCTCCAGGCAGGAAAATTGAGATTTTGCAATAACTGTCTGCAAAAGAAGGTCCGTGAGAAATGTAACACCAACGACACCATTGGGGACCTTAAAGAAGCTGATCATAGCCCAAACTGGTACCTGTTGGAACAAGATCATACTAAAGAAGTGGAATGTGATTTTTAAGAACCACGTTTCTCTGGGGGACTATAAAATCCACTCTGGGATGAACCTGAAGCTTTATCATCAATAGAACAGACTTCCTTCCCTCCCCTCTTCCCCCACTCTCACCTCCCACACTGGTATGGAGGTTTGTTTTTTAAAAGTCATGTTAATAAAAACTTATAAGCGGAAAAAAAAAAAAAAAA